TTTTGGATTTACTGTGGGTAACAAGTCAAGTTAGCACTGTCGCCTCACAGCAACAAGGTCCAGGGTTTGGACTCCGGCCAGGACCTTTTAATGTACCGTTTGCATGTTCTTCAGTTTCTGTGAAGTTAATTCTCCAAAGTGCCCTCGTCCAAAGCACTGGTTATAAGCTGGAGTTGATCCCTAGGACCTGCACAGTGGCTGCCCACTGCTGCTAATACTTCAAATGGGTACAGAAAACGAATATCCCTCCAGGGCTCAATAAAGTTTTTTTTTTTTTCTTTTTTCTTTAAGTCTAAGACAAGTCAGTTTTATTAAACATGTCCAAAATCTAAATTTTGCACCTCTTATTTAGGCACCATCAATTCTGTGGATGTAAACTGTTGGCTTCTGTTTGGTGCCATCATCAAACCAAGCATTAGGATAAGATAAGATGAAATAAGATAAGCTTTTATTAATCCTACAGCAGGGAAAAACTTGCAAGAAGTAAATACAAAGCTACAGAAGTACTGTTGATATTGTGCAGATTCTTCCACATGTGGAAAGTCAGATATTGCACAGATTCCTCTGGATGTGGAAATTAAATATCTATGTATTGAAAAACAATGATATTGCACAGATTCTTCCAAGAGTAGAAAAACTGATATAAAAAATACTAATATTGCACAGATTTTATCGATATTGCACCGATTCTTCCATGAACAGAAAATACTGGTGTTTCTTTCCGAGAAATGAATGTAAACAATATTTATATTGCACAAGTCTGAATGTGTTTATGCTCTGAAATACGGAGCAAAAGTAGCAAAGTTGTCTCTTCATTTATTTTTATGGCACTTATTTGTTACTTTTTATTTCCCGACGCTATCAAGTGTTAATGTAAATGCCGACAAATGTTTAGATGAGGACCAGTAAGTGTGTTTGTTTTTGCAAAAGAGAAGTAAAAACAACAAGTTCAACAGCTGAACATATTGAACATCATCTAGCTAAATATGCATTGTCCTCACTGACAGACTTGCAGGTTGGGAAGCTCTGCACAAGTGACATCAGCCGCTGCTCAGATTGTCACAAGGACAGATGGAAAAACAAACGAAACAGAAATGCGTCCTCAAGTGTAAATATGCATTGTGAGCTGTTCACATTATCAGATTTGCAGATGGAGGTAGCATATGTGCAGAAATATATGCTATAGCGCCATGTAAAATTTACAGATGGTGTAAATATCACAGCATTATTACACCACGAGCTGAGTATCATGTATTGACTTAGTGTTGAACATGTGTTTGAGATGTATACAGTGGGGCTGCAACGGTCGACTTGGTATCTGGACAGCTGGCAGCCTCTGGCTCTCAGACTGACGGCGCAGGCAGATGCAGCATCACCTCGCTTAGCTCTTGTTTATGCAGAGGAAGTTGGATCTATCTGTCTTTTGGTTTGTCAGACTCTCTTCCTCGGCGTGTTGAGGTGTGTGACAGAGAGATGGAGGGAGATGGTGGCTGGACTGGCAGAGTGAGAGCAGACTGTCTCTCTGTAATGAATATAAATGGGCTCCAGGTCTCACTCTCCTCATCTGGCTTACCTCTCTGAAGGCAGGCGTGGGACTGGGGAGGGGGTGGGATAGAGTCGGCCCACCCTCCCTTTTCCACTCATATTTACTGCACTGTACATACAGACATTTATGTTCTTTCTTGCTGCTCTGTTTACTGCTGTGTGGGTTTTAACCCTGTGAACTCCAAACAGTTTCTAGGTGCTTTTTTTTTTTTGTGTGTGCTCCTGTCACATTTTTACTGCAATATAAAGTCCTGCTCCTCTATTAAATCAGCACAACCATGGCTTGAAGTAAAGAGAACTTAGAAATGCTTTCTGTGCAGTATGACACAGTTATAATTAGGGATGTCCCAATAAAGTTTTTTTGCCCTCGATCCAATCTGAGTCATTCATATTTAGTATCCGCCGAAACCCGGTCCCATTTTCCTGGATAATACACACTTGAAATATTGTAGATTAGGTATGGTACCTGATTTTGAGCATCTAACCGTTTGATACTGCAGTGACCAGAAGAGACAGGAAGTTCCAGATTGGCCAGTTAAGAGAACTGTTTGGTTAGTGAAAGGACACCAGATTAAGTCTTCTGTGAGGCTTAATCACCTCCGACCAGCACACGTTTTAAATCATCTGCTTTAGCAGCCAGTATCATGTGGCTGTGACACTACTAGCAACATCAATATATGACAATGTCAACTGATTAGGTACTGATTGCTGCTGCTTATTGCAAATAAAGTAAATTTCTCAAATTTACAACACATAAACAAACAAAGGATTCCTGCCGACACTGATCAGTTAAAAACTGTCTTGCTTGGCCCTGATCGCGATCTTTTTCTCCATCCATTATCTATACATCGCTTAATCCTCACTAGGGTCATGGGGGGCTGGAGCCTATCCCAGCTGACATAGGATGAAGGCAGGGGACACCCTGGACAGGTCACCAGTCTATCACAGGGCCACACTTAGATAGCCAAGCACACTCACATTCACACCTACGGACAATTATAATTACCAATTAACCTCAACATGTTTTTGGACTTGTGGGAGGAAGCCGGAGAACCCGGAGAGAACCCACGCTGCACGGGGATACTGGATGACAGTGGTGCATGCTTTAATTTGTATAAATAAAGTCATGGTCATGGTCACGGACAGTTATGCAATCGAATACAATTAGATAAGTGACAATAACTGCTATATCTGTGAAGCTTGTGCTGCTCACTCGTCGTTAAGACATAAAAATACACTCCATACTTCAGTTCAATACAACAACAACCCTTTAGAAACTGTAGTGCTGAATCTCAACAAGGACTGAGCATTTAGGTTCCACGTTGCGGTATTCACTGCACAACCTTTTGTGTACATGGCTGCAATATAATAAGCTGTTGTTTGGTCCTTTAGTTTGCTGTATTTTCTGGAGAAGAGATTAGGATGAATACAGAATCTGAACTCATTTGCCTGTCTTTCTGTATTCAAGCACTCTTATCCTCCCTCCTAATTTCCACTGCTTTTTATGCCACCTATGAAGTGCTGATGAAGCCCAAGTACCTGCAACAAATACTTCAACCCTTATCTGAAGCACAGCACCTCCATTACCTCCTTCCTTTGTCTTTTAATTGCCTTTGGGGGGGAACGCAGGCTTTGTGAATCTCTGCATGGCACACACTGTAATGTGACAATATTTATTTTCTCTACACCGAGTGCATTATCACCTATTAGTCATTCTTCCCATTCACGCTGTCATCATCAGATTCCCATGACAAATGAACTGTCTGAAGACATTTCTTCTGAGGAAGTCCTATGATTAGCACACATCTCCTTCATCTCTCAGAGTTGTTATTGCTGCTTTTCCTCCTGCCACTTTGCTCTTGATGTTTTGTCATGAAAAGAATGAGGGGGAAAAATACCCCTCCTTGGCTTTATTCTGGTTAAGTGTCATCTGGGTCTATTTAGAAAGCTGTGAGGCTGTTAGCAGGGCTGCCAGTGTTGTCATGTTTTCTTAAATTGATTCCCTGTGATTACTTGGCGGTCGTGGTGCTCTTTAAGGGACAGGATACAAGAAAAGCACTTGGTAAATTGTGCCGTGAGACAATGCCCGAATGATGACACACACGGAGAAACACACACGAGTGTAAAAAATTTGCGTATACGCCCTCACTCACTCATATGGACTATAATTAATTGCCAGGAAGTCTCAGGTAATTTAAATTGCAAATCAGTGCAGCCTTTTTCTCCCAACTTTTGTGATTAATATTTTATTGTTTTACTGAGCGAAAATGCCACCAGTGTTTTTCATCAGATACAAATAGCACAAAAGAAGAAAAAGGGGCCGCTGAATTGAGGAGGATCAGATGCAGGCGTTATCTCTAAACATTAATTAAGTCGTGTCTGGGTCTGGAGCTGTGGAGGTCCGGGTGTCGCCTCTTCTGCCTCCAATCGAATCACCAAGTGGGCCCTCTCACTTTCTCCCCCTCCTTCTGTCATTCTTGCTTCCTCCTTCTTGGTCCAACACTTTCTGCCAAGTTCTCTCAGGTCCCGAACCTCTCTTTCAATCAGACACTAATTAAGCGATGGAGTGGAAGGGTTTCTTTGGCAGGAGATCGGGAGGACGTGCAGGTTGAGCGAGAAAAGCCAGATCCCGAGACCTCGCGTATGAAATGTGTGGAGGGGAGCATGAAGAGATGAAACCAGAGGAAATGAGAGATTTAAACAGCAGAGAGACGAAGCTTTGAAACCAAACTGCTGCGTGTTCCTTTTCATTATATTTTTTTTTTTCTCCCAATAAGATTTTCAGTCCCATGAGGCTCCTCGTGAAGCAAAGGAACAAAAAAAAAAAAAAAAAAAAAAGAGACAGAAATAATGAGGAGGTTTCTCTTTGCCACAAACACAAAGTGAGAGGTGATGTGGCCGTTGCAGTGTAAATCTCAATCGTAGCGTTTCAGAATGAAAACATCCTGGAAGCAGGCGCTCATAAAAAAACAACTTTGACCTTCCTTAGTCAGCACTGCCTTTTTTGAAAGTGCTGCGCGACCTTGTGTGTGTGTTGTGAGCGCAGACTGGCAGCTTGAGATGAAAGTCTTAAGTCTTGCCCTTCACTTAGAGCCACGGCGGATGGGTGCAGCCTGGCTGGAATCAGATGGCTGGCGCAGCACTGTGCTCCTCTCAGAGCAAAACAAAGAGCGAAACCACGCGCAGATAAAGGAAGGCTTCCCTCAGTGAAGCACAGCGCACGCCGCTGCTGTGCTTTGAATGCCGAAGCCTCTTTTAAAAACAAATGAATTCCGAGCCCTTACTTCCTACTTACTGGGAAATACCGCTCAATTAGACTAACCATTCAATTAGGGGTTGCTTTGACACTCAGAAACACACAGACGCATGCACAAGGTCACAGATATTAATAGTAATGTGCCTCGCTAGTTTAAAGTCAGACTTATTTTAATGACTGTCTTTCTGTGTCCCTACAGGGTGCCTGTAGCTATTTTGGAGTCTGGACGTTGTGTTGCGCTGGATCCGTCTTTCTGCTGCTCTCCGTAGGCAGGTGTTCAAGAGGCGGTCAGCTTGACTGATTATTAGACCTTCCCTCCCTCCCGACGCCTCACCCCACACCTGGCTGGTGCTCCTGCCCCGCTCAGGTCCTCTCTGCATCAACGCTGGCAATGTCCAGAGTCCCAAGCCCCCCACCCCCGGCAGAAATGTCCAGCAGCCCCGTGGCTGAAAGCTGGTGTTACACTCAGGTGAGACATGCACGACGATGTTTAGCTCCATGATGTACTTTTATGCACATTTCTGACGTACCACACAAGAAAAAGCTAATGGAAACAGCACAAAAAACCTTTCCCAATTTTACAAAAAACGGTTTCTACCCCTGGTGAACATTTAACTCTCATGGCTGGTCAGCTGTTTCCACTTCTTTCATTGTTTTTATAAAACATGGCCGATACCAGCTGATAGAGCAGGGTGATATGGCCAAAAACATTTATCACTGTATAAATGAGAAAATTTGCGATAACGATGTAATTGGCACTAGACAAAATATTTCAAAACTGCACAACTTTATTGGTGCAAATTAAAAAAAGAACAATTTCTTTTCCATTTAACAAGCAGCTGCTTTTGATGTGCATTAAAGCTATAATGTACCAAAATCAATAGTGCATAAGTTGTAAATTGCTTGCTGACAGTTTGTTTAATCAAAATGCATTTCAAATGGAAGTGGGCTTACAAATCCTGAGCATAGCAATACATAGTATCCACAAAAGTAAAGTACAATTGCTTTGCAACTTAAAACTTTACTGAGTCAGTTTCTTTGGTCTCACCACCACGTCAGTTAAAGCAGATGCCTCCTCAAGTGCTTTTACAGCTTTGTTGTTGTCCGACAAGTGCTTTTGCTTCAAATGGTGAAACAAGTTTGTCGTGTTTCCTTCCTTCGCCACAACGCCACTGCTTGCAGGTTTCACAGAAAATGGTGCTCTGCTGTGTATCTGACGGGTGAAATCCAAACCAGTTCCACACCACGGAGGTTGCACCTTTTTTGCAAACCAATTCTAGTTCATCTGTGGAGGCAAATATTTGGATATCAAAATTGCTATACGTACACCACCACAATAAGCCCAGCCCTACCTTTCGGTCGATGCACTGCATTCGCCCTCCTCCTCGGTTGCTGCCATGCTTCTCATATTTCACTCAAATTTTATCGCGATATTTCAATTTCACATCATACCCTAACATTACATCGGTATTACCATGCAAGGTATGATATGGCCCAGCCCTACCAGCTGACAATCGAGAATAACTGACAGACATGCACAGGTGTATGCACGCACTCGAAACACACAAAAAAGTCAATCAGAAAGCCGAAGCTTAACAGTTTGAGCTACTAAACCACAGCAGAAGAGCTGGTGGAAAACAATGTGGACATAGTGTCTGAAAGATGCCACTTCTTTAAGTGTCATCCAGCTGTTTTTATAGAGGTGAACAGAAATGATTCTAACATTTATGCAACTGAAATAATCACGACCAGGTGATTATATCATCGAATCAGTTTATTTTGTTGTCGGTAATCAAACACCCAAGTACTACTAAGTACAAGCTAAGACACTGTTCGTTAGGACACTGTAGATTCTCCTGTGCTGATTTTATAAACTAACCCCAAAACTCTACAGTTGGGTTTGAAATGCTGACTGTCTTTATAAAAGTTGGAAAATTCCAATAGTCCTCAACTTAATATGCATAAAATGAACTAAATCTAAGCTTAAATTTGTGATATTTGATTTAAGTCATTTAATTCTATATGTCTGATTTCAGAATTCACAAAAATTAAACAGCGTGCCCTCACCAGATTTGGTCAAATTCAAAAATGATGCTACTCAACTGACACCAACAGTCACGTGAAAAACCTTCAGGAACTATTCAGCTGAACTGCAGGCTGTGTTTGACCGAGCAGATGGAGTCACGTATGGAAATAAATAAAAAATGAAAACAAAACAACGTTATTTCCCAGTGCTGGTAACACCTGTGGCTACTGCTAAATAATCAAAGATATTTAACTTCTTCGTTTGTTACACTTCAAAAAAGACATTTCTGAGTTCTCTGTACTTCTAGTCATGGTTGTGCTGTTTCCACAAAGATGCAGGACTTTACATTTCAGTAAAATATATTTTTGAGCCCAAAAATGCCCAAAAAGCAAAAAAAAAAAAAAAGAGAGAGAAACTGCTTGAGGGTCACAGAGTTAAAGTCTGTTTTCTAGGTCTTTGATACTACCTATAAATAAAAACATGTGTTAACCCTTTGTGGTACATTTGCAAAAATTCAATGATTTGCCCCACACGTCTTCAGACATGTTGGTTTTGGCTTAAGGCGACAAGCTTGAAAATGAAGAAGAGGGGGTTGTGGAGTTAGAAAGAAGGGGAGCTTACCAGATCTCGTTAGCCTGCTAACCTTTTTCTGCTTGAGGCTAGAAGCTCGAGGGTGCATTAGCGGTTACAAGTATAACACGCTCTGAATCTCCAGATGAACTGTTAGCTGTTGAGATGTACTGTAGGTAAAGTCGGCTTCTGATTTCGACAAGGAGAGAGGCGGTTTTAAAAAGAAAAACTGACGTCTAACAGTATTTGTATTAGTTGAATGTTAAAGTGGAGGAGTCATCCAGGTGTAAAGGTGAGATCAAGTATTGACTGATATCCTCCCTCACACTGCATCTGAATTCTGTTTTCCGCAGAATAAACCTGATGGTCCATTATTTTGTGTTTCATCACGACTTTTTGCACAATATTAAATGGAGCCGACAGCCAGTAAGAATATAAAGAATCATGCTTATTGGTGCCCACTTAATCGGAAAAGCTTCCTATTTTATGAGGCTTACTTTTCCGTAATGACCCTAATGGATATGAATCATGTTTGCATTTTTTCCAGTTACTGTGTTTTCCCGACTGTTTCAGCATTTCAAGTGTAATTTGTTTCCCATAGAAATTGGTGTCATTTTACATGTTTTCTTTGTTTAAAGGTTATCTGTACTGTGAAATTGTATTTGTTTGAGTCATTACGGCAGCAGGCCTCACTAGCTCAGACATCGCTCTCCTGTTAAGAGCCAAGGTAGATAAAGTATGTCATTGATGATGCCTGTTTTTTCATCTCCGCCATGTCCTTGCAAAATTGTTTTGCCTTTTTTTTTTTTTTTTTTTTTCCCCGTTGCCACTTTTACAATATCCTTTCTTCTTTCCCTTCGTTTGTTGTCGGTGTTTATTAAGATGAAAGGCAGTTTTGATGTGCGGTTTTGAAGTCCAGGCTGACCAAACTCCGCTTACGCATATAGAATAGATCTGGTTTCAGACCACCCTGGTTTTTTTTTTTTTTTCTTCCCCCTGTGCAGATCAAAGTGGTGAAGTTCTCCTACATGTGGACCATCAACAACTTCAGCTTCTGTCGTGAGGAGATGGGAGAGGTGATCAAAAGCTCCACGTTCTCCTCAGGAGCCAACGACAAACTCAAATGGTGAGTGAGGGCTGGTCGATTTAGCTGGTGGGTATTGAAAATGTTTAAGGAGAACATCCACTTGAACAGTTCTCGCAAGGATTTTTTTTTATCTTGTTCCGTATCTGAGAAATTACAAGAGATTTAATCTGTCAAAGTCAAGGTGTGGAGTATAAATGATCCAAAAAGACGGTTTTGCTTCAGTGATATTTTGTGCCTCCAGCTAATCTGTATGTGCAGTTATGTTTACCAGCACATCTGGTTGTGTCTTCACACTTTCAGATTCAGTGTGAATGATAAAACATATGATACATGCCGGGTTAAATGTACATTAAATAAATACACATTAGTGTAATATTTATAGTTTTCCAAAGACCCCTGCTGCTGAAAATCAAGTCTTACCTTGTTAACATGTGCATATGGTGTTTTTTTTTTTAATATGATAGAAGACGGATCATAAGTGAAATAATCAGTCAACTCCATGGCTGAGTATTTCCACCTTGAAGCTGCAGGATACTGAATGGTGAATACAGAAGTCTCAAAAACACTGATTCACACTTCTAAGGTTTCATACAGAACCAACCTAAAAAAAATCAATCCTGTTAACGTTCAGGGTGGAAGCTTTTGTATCATCATTCTCCTTTAGAATCAGCTTCCACTTCAAACATGTATAGCTGAATTGCAATTGTGTAGCTTAAAGTAGTTTTATAGTGTCTGAACAGTTGTAGATGAGCTGTTGTACTTGAGCTGTGGCAAATGGCAGAGGTGTAGAGGTACGTCTGAGCCATTTTACGGCAGGAAGGAATTCTTTTGCCTTTTAAAATATAACATGCAATGTACACTGGGTACAAATATTAGTTATTGGTCTTTCTTGATCAGCAATAATTGGTATTGATCTTGAACCTGGAAAGTCTGTATCTGTCAATCCTTACTAGAAGGGCTTTGTCAATCTGTCAAGGCACAGATTTAGAAGGAGCAGTACAATCTGAGTCTGCAGTGGTGTGCTCTGGAAGAAGCTGGTAGATTTAGGTGGAGCCTCTAGAACAGGGGTGTCGAATCCTGGTCCTCGAGGGCCGCAATCCTGCAAGTTTTAGATGTTTCCCTCTTCCAACACACCTGATTCAAATGATCAGGATCGTTATCAGGCTTCTGCAGAGCTTGATGATGAGCTGATCATTTGAATCAGGTGTGTTGGAAGAGGGAAACATCTAAAACATGCAGGATTGCGGCCCTCGAGGACCAGAGTTCGACACCCCTGCTCTAGAACCAACTGATATTCAACATACGAGATGTGTCAGAAAAGTTTCAGGACTGGTGTCACAAAAGATATATTTCAAATCCAAACTACAAGTTTTCCCTTTCAAAGTAATCCCCCTGGAGTCTAACACACTTTCCCAGCCTTCTCTGCCACATGGTCACACACTCCTGGAAGGATTCTTCCGGATCCCCCGTAGCTCCGTCGTCACAGCCATCTGATGTCATCTACGTCTTCAATACGGTCCCCTTGATGACCCCCTTGAGCCTGGGGAAGAGGAAGAAATCCCACGGAGCCAGGTGGGGTGAGTAAGGAGGTTGCTCCAGCACGGTGATGTTCTTCTCAACCAGGAACTGTTGGATGCTCAGGGCATTGTCAGCAGGCGTGTTGTCATGGTGAAGCAGCCACAACTTGCCACAACTCTCGCCTCTTCTCGCGCTCTGAACGAAGCAAATGCCGCAGGATCTCTTTGTAAACGTGCTGGTTGATCATCTGAAGGGGAAAACTCGTAGTTTGGGTTTGAAATATATCTTTTGTGACACCAGTCCTGGAACTTTTCTGACACACCGTGTATTTCTAGATATTGTTATTTGTGTCGTTATTGGTTTTGTTGATGAATTTCTGTTAAAATATGTCAACTTAAAAATATGCTACTTTGACTCCAGAGCAGCTGCCTAGCTGCCCTGTGATCTCGAGCAATGTCCTGCCCACATAATCTAACTGGTGAAGCGTCACGAGTATAACCCAGGCAACACTGAAGGAGAAACATGTGTAACACTTAACTGAACAAAGGCATTTCAAAGATTTTTTCTGTTGGAGTTTGTCAATTTTGACACCAAGATGTTCATTTTCACTGCAAATGTACATCATTTCCAAATTGATCTCTTTGATTACCAGTAATTATTAATAAAACAGATGGCTAAATAGACAAGTGCTTCTGCTTAGTGGATCCACGTACAGTAAACAGCTGTTGTACTGGTTATACGGTAAAGGCTAAGATACACGTCCAAGAATTTTATTTTCACAGAAGAGCTCGCAGAATGAAGGGGAACGTATTCAAAATCTCATGCAATAACATAGTGGCCATAGACATTCTGAGGGGGATGAAAATGATGACTATAGCCTTGGGTGAAATAACACACATCAGTGGGTCTGGGAGCGGTTTAAATTAGAAATATCATTTTATGGAAACCACATCGACGCGCGTTATTTTTGAATATAATTCCAGTGGTCCACTTACTCCTTTAAGTGCCTACTGTCTTTTGTATCTCATCTGAGTGAGCAATTCCGACTGTTCTTTTTGCAGCCGTCTGTAGCGGACCTCAGTCAGCGGTGTTATTGCCTGTTTCTCCAGAGCTCTCATAGATGCTTGTTGGAGAAATGAGTTCCAAAGTGCACTGCAGGTCAGCGCCGCGCAGGCAACACAGCAAAATGGCACACATTCGAATAACAATAAAAGACTAATGTCGGAGAATTAACAGGAACCTGACAGCAATTTAGGGAAGGTTATCTACTGTACCATATAGATGAAAGCAAACAGAAGCCCACCACGACAAATTCGGCATTACCGCACATTTGGTTACTGATTTTGCTCATGAGCGTTTAGTTTGTAAAGCTCCAGCACATAAAGATTGTTACTGCTTTTCATTAAATGTTTGTAAAATGTATTTGTCTCAAATGGCTTAGCAGAATTACGACCTCCAGATGCTTCACGTGTTAATTAACAGTCCATATGGCCATGGTGAAGTGTTTCATGTTACTGAAACTATAACAGGCTGTGCAACAAACTATCCATATGTTACAAACTCATTGTTCCTTTTGTGAGACATAAAGAGGCTGTGACTCAGCTGCAGCACTGATACACTGACCGCAGCAGATCTTAGTATAATATCCTATATAAAATCTATCTTATATCATTCTTTTTTAAAGAAAGAGGGCACATTTCTTACTGGAGCACTGGATCCACAGTAGATTTAAGATTCCCCCGTTTCATTTTAAGTTCAGGAAGGTTGTCTAGAAAGCTCAAAAACTGAGGTGGGTCTAATAATCAATGTTTCTTGTGATACCATATACTGTGGATACTTCAGCACGGATTTTGTGATACTCTCTGTTGTATTCTTTTTGTTTTTTTTCCATCACCAAAGGGAGGAACCACTGTGAGTTATTCTGATTTTGGCAGTTCAGCTTTCCGCATTGAAATATTGGCATGTTTATGTTGCCGTGTTAACAAAAAAAATTCAGATTCTTTGCTCTTTGGTTCAAAGTGTTACATCTCAACTGTGTATAAAACTCTGGAACGGATCATTTTTCATAATGAAGGGAATAAATAGAGCGTGGTTTTGATTCTAGCTGCATTTCCAGCTTCACTTCAGTCTCAAATGCATACTTTTAATCACTAGAGACCTGGAACTATATTATAGAATGTGTGTCTCATCAACTCCCAGATATTCCTCAAATTATTAGTGTTTAGAAATACACATGTATCAAAATCCAAGTAGTTCTGGACATTTTTTTTTTTTTTTACTCCTGTGATATTTTTGCTCACTGTGGGCTTATTTTTCACTGCAGTATTAAGACCTGCACTTAATTAGAAACAGCACAACCACGGATAGAAGTAAAGATAACTCAGAAATCTATTGTGCAGCATAACAAAGTTGCAAAATCATTTCAATTATTTATTTTACAGAATTTTACAAACACCTGGAATCAACATGTATATCATTTTTCTAACATGTGTTACCACCAACAAAAATACGACTCTACATGCAACTGTTAATATTTTAGTGCTTGCTTTTTGGATTTATTTCTATTCTTGCCTCTCAGTTTCTCAGTGTAAACACAGACTACAGTTCAGCCAAATGTATCTGAATTCCTGCCACGTCACCGTTGGTCACAGCTGAGTCACTAATCGCTTCACGGTTGTGCCGAGGAGCACAGAATTCTATTGTTTTTTTGTTTTTTTTACAGAATCTGAGTCGTGCAAGTAGTTTATTTTTAGCAGTTTTTCTTCTTTGATTAAATGACACATCACAGATGGGAAGCTCAAGGACCCTTGGAAGATTGAAAATATAACAGTTTTTTTTTCCTTCTATTTTTACAGTTTCTCACTATGATAAATTCTGTATTTTTTTAAAAAAAAAAAAGAAAAAAAGTGTAGATACAAAAGGATGGGATCAAGGCAAAAGACAATGTAGTAAGCTTTACTTTATGTTGATCTTGTTGCCTCACCGTTATGGACACCATGATATAGGAGTGTGTCTATTTGAGCAATGTGAGGATGCAGCAGGTGGGCTATAGGTTTAGTTCAGAGCATCATCTGTCTTTGATTTTGGAGTGCTTTGATGGCAAAAGTTCTCTAAATAAAGATGTTTTGCCTAATTCATGAAGCAGGTCATTTAGAAGCTGAACAAGAGCATGAGAATGACAGCACATATCAGACAAAGATAGTTATATGAATGTAAATATTAAATATAAACACTCTGACTAGTGGAACAGAAGCATTCAATCTTCCTTTAGCCTCATCTCTCTTTGTTTTTTTTCCCTTTTCTTTCTCTTAGGTGTTTGCGTGTGAATCCTAAAGGTCTGGATGAGGAGAGCAAAGACTATTTATCACTTTACCTACTCTTGGTTAGCTGCCCAAAGAGTGAAGTCCGTGCCAAGTTTAAGTTTTCTATCCTCAATGCCAAGGGAGAAGAGACCAAAGCCATGGGTAAGTCAGAGTCACCAGGCCCTAACCAAGCTTAACTGATAATCAAGTCAGTTTTATTTATATAGGCCTGTATCACAAGTGACAAATTAGCCCCGAGGGGCTTCACAATCCGTACAGCTTGCAAGACCATCTGTTCTTAAAGTCTGGATTTGTATAAGAAAAACTCTCCAACAGAAAACCCTTTAATCTTTAATGCCGTCAGATGACAAGCGTTTTAAAAACCGTCTTGGATGACACACATAAGGAAATACTTTACAGATGTTTTTTCTCTCTAATCTCAGACACGCACACTCTACAATACTGGAGCATAATGGCACTTCACAAACGCTACAGGAGATTCAGATTATCATGCAAGCAAGAGCAATGCACCACGTGATCTTATTGAGAGGCAGAAGTAAACTTAAAAGAGACTGTGGTGCAACAACTCGCTGTTATATAAATTTGCAGTGAGACAAAAAAGACAAAAGCTTAGCCAGTCAGGATGGGAGAATATTTGGGGAGATGCAGTCAACATTGGTTGTCGATTCTTCAGCGAGACCTTAAAGTGCAGCTAATGTTAACCTCAAGGGCTTGCTCATATCTTAACTAATTTGTTTGCTATTGTTGGGGCTGAGGCCCTGATGAGTCTGCGAGCTGGCTGGGATGTTTAAACATGGACAAGCAAACCTCCCACATTACAAGATCCCAGGCCAGATTCCTTTTTTCATTGCATTCAGGGGTGAAACAGGTGTAAATCAACCTGAAACTCACGAGCCTTGGCTTCAGTTATCTCAGGAAGAGCACCCGATGAGGGATTTCACTTCCGACGTATTTACAGTGCAGGCAGTCAAGATGATAAAATTATATCCCATAAACATATGAAGGGTTAGGACATCCTTCTTCCATGTGTTTCCAAACAGGAGGAGGCAACATTAATGCTAACCAGCACTTTGAAATGCATACCAAACTCTCATCCTTGATCTCCCGTAAATGCCCACAATTTAAATAATTCTCTAAGCTTGACATGGAAATAAATTAGCGTTCATAACTGAAAAAACTTCTTAAGCTGTTCTACACAGAAGTCAGCATTCAGCAGAAAACTGAGGATATCTCAAAGTTTGAGAGTTTCATAATGAAAAACTCCTGTCACACCTGTGTCTTTGGGGCACTGAAATTTGTAAATGCAGGAGGTGGGGAGTGTGTCTAATACTCCCAAGTGTGTCTAATAATGTGTGGTATTGATAGCCATATGGGCTTGTGTAATCACTGCCGGTTGGATTCATTTCTAGTAAATATATAATTCAAAGTAGCATGGGGCAATTTTGATTTTAATTAAAAAAGACCCAACCCTTTTAGAAGTCTTCGTCCGCCTCACTCTCAGTTGATGAATTGGAAATGAATGTGCCTCCAATTCCTGTTTTTTTTCCTTTAATTAGGTTATGTTATGGGGAGGAAAAGCAAACTTGTGTGGAATCGAATTAGTGAGGGCCAGATGTGACCGCTTCCTGGTTATCAGGCTTTCTGGCTGCCTCCCTCTTTCCCAGTGCCCTGCAGCATACTGTACAGGAAGCGTGGAGGAGGGAAGACGGGGCGGGTGGGAGGCAGGGAGAGCGAGACGAAGAGGTGGGAGGCGGAAGTGTGCCTGAATCAGAGGCGTATGCAGTGGAGCTGTGTACAACCCCCTGCGGTGCAGGTTGTGTAGAAAGGGAAATCATTTTTCCTGCTGAGAAACATTCCCTCATGTGAACTTTCATTCCCTCATTTGCTCACTTAGACACCTGTCTTCTCCTTTTCACACTCTCAAATTCATTTTCTTACTCTTTTATCTTTTTTTAATTCCATTTCTGTCCTAGCCCCGCTTAGCCAGCCTATTCAGTAGCACATGATGGTTTTGCTGCACCTCACTACCATTCCGCTGTAGGGGAAAAATAACTCTGGCTTGTTTGTGTTACTTTAAACTTGGGATGTCCTGATCAAGTTTTTTTTTTTTTGCTGCTGGTTCGATCTGAGTCATTTGTTATTTAGTATCTGCCAATACCTGATACAATTTTTCTTGATAAGACATACTTGAAGTATTGTGGACTAGCTGTAGTAGCTGACTGACTCTAACTGGTTAATACTGTAACGCCCAGAGGACGCAGGCACTAATGTGTTGGCAAGCAGAGAGCATTGTGGGAGTTTA